GCTTTCAGGCCTCGATTGTATTGTGAGCAGGCTTTCAGGCCTCGTATTGATATTGTTCAGGCTTTCAGGCCTTGTTGATAGCGCTTGGGCTGTAGGAGCCCCTCCGGAGTCTGCACACCCACAGTGAGCGCGGGTACCCATCTACAGTGAAATATTTAACAGTGGTAACAATGACACTGTTATACGTGTTTGGTCAGGTAACAATGGCTGACCGGTCAGGTAACAATGGCTGACCATACTTGAGCATACTTGTTTTATTGATTGTTTTCAAAAAGATTTTTCTTACTATATTTCACTGGTTTCTACTGTTTATCTGATGTTGCTGCTTGAGATAGCATTATTTGTGCCCTTGTGGGATTTTATGTTCTCAGTCGTTATTTATTTTTATTACTCACTGGGTCGGAGTACTCACATTACTTCCTGCACCATGTGTGCAGAGACAGGCACAGCTGAGTTCGTACCTGAGCGCTGATTTCCTTCCAGACCAGGCGGACTAGGAGGGACGAGGTAGCTGTCGACGTCCACAGCCCCGTTTCTTCCTTATCTTTTGCATATTTTTAATCATCTTTAGACTATGTTTTCAGACTTGTAGTAGTTCCATCAACTCCGTAGTAGCTCGTGCCTTGTGACACCCCGATCATCGGGCTGAGTTTGGGATGGTTTTTCCTCGTTATGTTACGTTTATTTCCGCACTTGTGATTAATCAGTATCTATGGCTTAAACCTGTTTATGCTAAGAAATTGTTAAAAGCAGTGTTGATTGTTCATGTTGGCTGGCCTTGTCTTCACGAGAGGCGCCACCACGACCGGGTGGGAATTGGGTCGTGACAAGACATATCCTGTCAGTTAGTGCGGTATGTTGGGCTTGCAGGCTTTGTATGCATATTTGGTTGGTTTGTCAACTGTAATGATTATGACGGCCTTGTCGGCCCAGTTTTATATTGATACCTAGTCAGCATTCGCAGTTGTCTTGCAATGTGGCCCATGGCCAAAAGTATGATATCATATGTTCAGAGTCCCATAGTTGCAAGTTGATACGCAAGGATAGGTGAGGCGCTGGGTGCCGGTCTCGTCCCCAGGTTCGGGGCGTGACACCATCACCTTCCGCTGAGCTGATAGTCTACAAGGAGGACCGTTAAACCTGTCTATCGGGACCTGTGGACATGAAACACAACATCCCCAGGAAAAAGAGACGTCAGCGCAAATAAAGCATCGAGTATGTAAGTATTGAAGGAAGAGACACGTCAGAAGCACATGGGTTGTTAGTTAGTTATAATTAATTTACGGAAGGGTAGTGAGAAGTTAGTTAGCTCATTTTCTTCTTAGGCCTTATTTGTTTGCACTTAATGGAGGTCTGAATCTTAATCATTCAGATCTTAGACATTAAGTGCGTTTGTTTTTAAAGTCTGAATCTTAATTATTCAGATTTTAATCATTAGCCGTAGATCTCAGATGTGTATATATATACATAGCTAGACTTGTAATTAGTTCATTCTAGAACAGAAAAAATCTGTTATTTCTCTCTTCAATAGATTGAGAGCTTTCTTCCGGAAACTTCATTTCCGCCATTAGAGCTCAAGCTCGAGCTCAACTTGATCTTCATTAGTAAGGGATGAAAATAATATATAAAAGACATAAAAGAAACTCGGAATAAAAGATTCAAACCTGTAAGTTCACTGAATCATGGAAACATAACGACAAAAACTGCCGGCGGAACATATTGTTGTATTCCCATTTCCCAGGACCTTCTAGCAATTCAAAATATTAGTTGGTAGAAGAGTACAACGATCAAGTTTTTATAACCTATCCTTGCCTAAAAGAAACCTGCCTTAAATATTGTTTAAAGAGAGAAGAAAGAAAACTTGCCATTGATCTGAGTTACATAACATGACAGGACATTGAGCTATTATAAAATTAACAAGGAAAATATTTTAGTTCTTGATTTCTAATAATTGTAATCATTAAATATATCTTAATATTCATAATGATTCTTTAAACTTTCAATGTAGTATAATATAATGCTCTGATCATCAATCACTAAGAATTATAATAGTAACAATTATTATAATAGTAACAATCTTTAAGTATATTCTTAACATTCAGTAGTATAATTATAACATTAATGTCACGAACCAAATCTCCCTCCATAAGATGTCGTGACAGCACCTAGTCTGTAAAACTAGGTAAGCTTAACAATTGCGGAATAACTGAAATAATAACAGAAATAACGGCTAAACCTTAACAACAACAGGTATATATATAGATAAGGCTAGAAAACTGCCGCTTGGCATATACAAGTAAAATCAACAACTCTGAGTATGAACATCTCTCAAAGACCCGGTAATCACAAGTCACAAGCTCTAAAGAATTGTTCTAACTGTCTCTATACATTAGTATCTAGGAAAATAAAGAAGAAACATAAAAGGATAGAGGGGGACTCCGAGGTCTGTGGACGCTGGCAGATATACCTTGAAGTCTCTGTAGCAGCAGCACGACTCTCTACTAATAGCGGGGCTGGTAGGAGGTACCTGGGTCTGCACACAAAACATGTGCAGAAGAGTAGCATGAGTACACCACAACGGTACCCAATAAGTGCCAAGCCTAACCTCGGTAGAGTAGTGACGAAGTCAGGTCGGTGCCCTACTGGGATATAATAATTAAAGCAGAAGATATAGTAATATAGTGAAAGACTGAGAATTTAACAACGAGAAATACAGAAGAGGGAACTACACAGCAAATAGGGACAAACAACAGGGGTGCTCATGAGGTACCGCCTCATTGTCCCGAAAGTAAATCCTCAACAAGGGATCTCTCGAGGTACCGCCGCGTAGTCCCAAAAGTAAATATGCAACGGGGGATCTCCTGAGGTACCGCCTCGTAGTCCCAAAAGTAAATATGCAACAGGGGATCTCCCGAGGTACCGCCTCGTAGTCCCAAAAGAAAACACACAGCTCGAAACCGATGGAAACAACAATTAACAGCAAGAGATCCCAAAGTTTAAGACTAAATACAAATCAAGGAAAAGGCAGGAATTCAACTAAGTATGCTGCACAAATATTAAATAAGCATTTAAGACACGTAGACATACGATATTAGGCTAAACATATAACTATATATGCTGGGATGACTCATTTAAGATATAACAGGTTACTGTTCAGTAATAACCAGATTTTCAACAATTAGCCTGTGTACGCACTCGTCACCTCGCGTACACGCCACTCACATATCACATAATTGTCACAATATTACCAAATCCTAAGGGGGGTTTCCCCCACACAAGGTTAGGCGAGCCACTTACCTCAAGCCAAGCTCAATCAGACAATAAGAATGCCTTTTCCTCGACTTTCCGATTCCGAGTGGCCCAAATCTAGCCAAAGCAATTACATACCATAAATATAACTATAAGAAACTAATCTAATTAATGAAATCAAGACTTTAGCAAGAAATTAGAAATTTGTCCCAAAAAGTCGATCGGCCCACGTCTCGGGATCGGGTAAAAGTCACAAAATACGAACACACATTCAGCCACGACTTCACCCATACCAAAATTACTCAAATCCGATACCAAAACCTCAATCAAAACCCTAAAAAATTCGGTTTAAGAACTTTCCAACTTTTCCCCCAAATTTCTCAACCCAAAACCTTAATTAATGATGAATTTAACGAGGGATAGTGGATATTAATCAAAAGCAAGTGTAGAATCCTTACTCAAATGTTTCCTCTGAAAATCCCTCAAATTTCGTGTCAATACGAGCTCTCAAGGTCTAACAATGAAAATGGAAACCCTCATTTGAAATTTTAAAGTTCTGTCAGATACTTCTTCTTCGCGAACGCGGTTCGCGAAGCACAAAAAGCTACAGACCAAAGTTCCCTCTTACGCGAATGCGAGGGCCCACTCGCGAACGCGGTCCAAACGATCCTCTAGCTTCGCGATCGCAAAGCCCTATACGCGAACGCGTAGGCCAAACTCAGGAGCCCACCCCAGCTGCCTTTCCTTTTCGCGAATGCGACCCCTCATATGTGAACGTAGAGAACAATTTCCTTCACCTTCCGAATGCGTGGCCCACTTCGCGAACGTGAAGAAGAAACTCCGCTGGTCTCCTTGATACCCTTCGCGAACGCGGGACCTCTCTCACGAATGCGATGAAGGAAACCAGCAGCAGAACATTAGTGATTTTTCTGCAATTCCTACAAGTCCCGAAATGATCCGAACATGATCCAATTCACACCCGAGGCCCCTGGTACCTCAACCAATTATACCCATCAGTCCTAAAACATCATATGAACTTAGTCGTGCCTTCAAATCATATAAAACAACACTAAAAACACGAATCACACCCCAATTCAAGCTTTATGAACTTTGAAACTTCAAACTTCTACAACCGATGCCGAAACCTACCAAAATACGTCCGATTGCCTCAAGTTTTGCACACAAGTCACATTTGATATTGCGGACCTACTCCAACTTTCAGAATCGGAATCCGAACCCGATATCAAAAAGTCCACTCTCGGTCAAACTTCCCAAAAATCCAACTTTCGCCATTTCAAGCTTAATTCAACTACGGACTTCCAAATCACAATCCAAACACACTCCTAAGTCCAAAATCACCTAACGGAGCTAACGGAACCGACGAAACTCCATTCCAGAGTCGTCTTCACACAATTCCAACTACGATCAAAATCCTAGAACTTAAGCTTCCGTTTTAGGGATTAAGTGTCCCATTTCACTACAAAACCAAAAACAAATCTTCCCGGCAAGTCACATAAGCATAAAATGAAACAGAGAAAGCAGTAAATAAGGGATCGGGGCTAATACTCTCAAAACGACCGGCCGATACGTTACAATTAATCATTAAGAATATCATAATATTCTAAACATCTTTTTAAGCTCAAGGGTGGTGGAAAAATTTGAGTTTACTTATTTTGGAAATAAGATATACAATGAAGAGTCACCGAACAGAAACAATTGCTTGAATAATGAAATGAAATATGACAAGAATATAAAGAATGAATGAATCTTGATGAATTAAATCATAAAGTCAGAAAAAGTTGTACACAAACAATAATTTTAACTCTTAATTAACCTCCTAAAGAATAAACACTTGTGCCGTTGCAATTTGCAACCAAAGATTGTCAATCTCTTCATTTTGTTGTAGACTTTGGGATATAATGCCGAAGGTTCCTTCTCTTTTAATCTGTTTGTGGACTTTCAGATGCTATTGCGGATTCTTCATTGCCTGCTTCTATAAGAAAAATAGTAGTATCAAATTGCCATACAAGGACTTCAAGGTACAAAACTGATTCCAAGAGGTTTTGTCCTCCTTTTTTTTGTTGCTAACTTTGATGCAACATTAATGTTTGTTCTTTTATCTTCATTGAACCTTGTCTCTTGCTGTAGGATTTTACGGGTTTCTCCTTGCGGAAGCTGATTGTCTGTTTCCACCATGGCTTGAATTACTGGTCGGTAGGAGCACAAAACGGAAAATTTCTTGGTTTCCACAACCTAGAATCTCCTCAGAGATGCAAAGTGTTTTCTTCATAAACCCTAGCCGTCAGCATCTAGAATGGAAAAGCGTCATCTTTTCCATCACCTATAATGGTGTATATATGTATGACATAATTAGGGTTTTAAGAGGAGAACTAGCTAATGAGCTAACGAGCCAATTAACGTCCCTTATGGGTGGACCGGACCCAATAGCTTGTTCTAACACTTGGCTTTGGTGTTCATTCTCAGTTCTGCTCTGAACACGGGGTAGTAATTTGCTTGGCTGCGGCCCCTAATGCTTGGCTCTTCATTGAAGCATGCTTGCTTGCTTCTTGGTTGGCTTAGCTACAGCACACAACAGTACCTTCATCTGACAATAAATGGAATATCTGAGGCCCTTCTTTTCTCTTCGAAAGCTTAGAAGCAAAGACATCTAATGCTTCTTTCATCCACGGATGCCAACATACTTCCCTTGCTTCACTAAAATTCACCTGCATAATTGAATCAAATTCAACGTCATGAGGATACATTTTTCATTAAGATCCAAGTGATTCGAACAGGAGGCTTGGAGCAACAGTAAAGTTGTCTCCGTGTGACCTATAGGTCACAGGTTCGAGCCGTGAAATCAGCCACTAATTCTTGCATTAGGGTAGCCTGTCTACATCACACCCCTTGGGGTGCTGCCTTTCCCCCAAAACCCTGTGTGAATGCGGGATGCTTTATGCATCGGGTGATTCAAGATCAGAATAGTTCCTATTGCAGTGAAAACATACCCATAAACGTCGACGGACGGTGTTCTCAGGCCAATCATCTAGTTCCTCAGTGACACGCAAAGGAAACATGTGCCCCTCATGAAATGTACCTTGGCTTTTGCTTTTGAAACTCCATGTACCTAAGTATTCCTGCAAATTGATCACCGAAATACTATCACTTTTAGCCTGTATCAAAAATTATTTATATTCGATAGCTAGAAAAAATACATAAAATTTGTATAAATTTTGTACGTGATGTATATATACAAAAAAATATATGTTTTTCGCTTATTATTTTGAGAGCGGTTATACAATGTCATTTTTCTAAATATGTAGTTAATTAATGAGCAACATTAAGGTTTATGTGCGAAAATAACAATTATACCTCAATTCCAATCTAACGAGAAAAAAGATGAATCATCAAAGTTAATTCACTATTTATCTTCGCATGCAGAAACGAACCTGAACCTCAACCTCACCAACTACTCCAGCTTCTTCAAATGTCTCTCGCGAAGCTGCCTCTTCTAATGATTCATCAATTTCCCAACCACCCTACATTTTAATTGCAAAGCCAAAAATGTCAATTGATATACATAATGCATTAGAAAGATTTTCCATATTTCAATTGGGAGCTAAAATTATTGATAATTGGATTGAATTAATGGCCTAAAGATATTATACCTTAGGGAACATCATTCTTGGATTCTTCTGCGAGCTGATTAATAAAAATTCCAAATCATCAACTGGGGTACCCTGAACACAAGATGATTGGTCCGTTTTCTTGCTTCTGTACGGAATGCATCTGCACATTAAGGTAAAATGAGAGAAAAGTCACATCATCAACTTCTCATTAAGCACGAAACTCGGATTTTGAGAGTCAAACCTTTTAATTTTGACCGTAAATTTTTTGAAATAAATTTTATATATTTAAAGCTATATAAAAAGTACTGTAAATTACAATAATTAACAAATTAAAAATATCTAAAAGGTATATGAAAATATAACAATCAAAGAAAACTCGTTTGACACTCGAAATCAAAAGTCTACCTCATATTTGCTTCTTTGAAATACAAATTTTAGGAAAGAATAAAGAAAAGAATACACACCCAACAACTTGACGACAACCATGATTGTATCTCTGCAAATCTCTTCCTGTGCGAGAGGACATTGAGAAAGACTTCTTGATTTGCATATCCAACAAAAAAAAGAGACAAATATTTTCTTCAACTTACGAAGAAACTTTTCTAAAACAAAAAAGGGTACGCAAGAGATGACATCAATATATATAGGATTGGAATTAGGCCGTTATAGAGAGAAGGAAAAATTGACGCGTATAATTTATATATCATTCACTCTTTAAAACTTGAAAAGAGTGGCTATTTTCTTGGGTTAGATGTTAGAAATCCAAGAAGCTAAATACAGATGAGAGATAGAAGTAAGCTTTTCTAGATCTCTTAATTGTGTGGATAATATGAGAATACTCTGTTATGTTTGTTTGTCCACTCCTTCAATAGAGACAGGAGAGAGACAAAGAAGATTTAATATGAGAATGATATGGTAGTGGACAGGTTGTGCGTGGGTCAATCATTTTGGTTTTGTATTTTCCAGAAATTTTAGCCGAATGTCTATAGTAAATGGCCATCTTTTAATTTCTCTCACATTTTATGAACCTTATATACCAGGGTATAAAAATTCTTTTTGAATAAATTAAAAAATTATAAAAACGTTAGCTCATGATATAAAATTTTGGTGAAAACATAGTTATATGATATTGGTGGGAAAAAAAATCTAGTTATATAACCATTTGTTAAATTTACCCAAATATTGACAATGATATTAAGTTAATTTTATACTACTGATGTATTCTAACTGGTTATAAAATGTTATTTACTGCACTTTTAAATTACCAAATCGCAAATTGGACATTAAGGCCATCTCCAATGGTACTCTATTTTTTGCACCAAATTCAAATTTGGTGCAAGAAATAGAGTAAAATTGCTCCAATGGTACTCCATTTGTTGCTTTATTATAGAGCATGAATAATGTTGCATCAAATTTGGTGCAACACTATTCATTACTCTATATTTAGTTTAATAATATTTTATTCATTTTTTTTTATTGTTGAACTTTTAATTAATTATATATTGTGTATATAATTAACTTTTATATTAAGATTTTTATAATTTTAATTTTATATCCTATTTTTTGATATATTAATTTTTGTATATATTATATTTACATAAAATTATAAGTTAATTTTATTATTGTTATAATTGTATAAAAAGAAATATAACCATTATTTAAAAATAACAATACATAAAATAAAAATACATTATAATTAAAGTACATAAAAGGAGGATACATTAAAATTGAAATTACATTAAAAACATAAAGCATAAGTTTAGTAATCCCCTATGTCATTTCCAGGTGCACCATAATTACCAAAATACTGAGTGAACGGGGTAGAAGATTGTTGTGGTTGTGGTTGTTCAAATTGTTGACTTCTTTTATCGATTATTCGTTTTTGTTCTTGTCGCAAAAATATTCGGGAACCACATTCAGCAAAGAAGAGATATTTTGCAATGAAACAAGAATCAAAAAGAAAAGATGTTGAACGTGCATTCGGAGTTTTGCAATCGCGTTTTGCAATTGTTGCAGGCCCGTCACCTTTTTGGAGAAAAAAGGTCCTACGTGATATAATGACCACATGTATTATACTGCACAACATGATAATTGAGGACGAGCGTGATCTTAA